CTTTAATTTCCTCCTTAATTCAAAAGTTAATTTTTAAACATGACATAAATAGAAGAAAATGCTGCAATGAAACCCACTTGTACACTAACCTAAAAATTAATAATAAAAGAAATACTTTTTTTTTTTTTTTTTTTTGGTCTTTTTGAGACAGGGTCTCCCTGTAGCCCCAGCTGTCCTGGAACTCACTGTGTAGACCAGGCTGGCCCTGAACTCACAGAGATCCACCTGCCTCTGCCTCCCAAGTGCTGGGATTAAAGGCGTGCAATACTTTTTCAAAGGGAATATTAAAAAAAAAACAAAACCACCAAACATTACACAAACTGAAAATAATCCAACCAGTACATATAGATAAGCAATAACAAACATCCTGTTCCTTGTTCAACACTGAGGCAACTGTTCTTCTTAAAATAATCAAATACTTTAAAATTACATAAGAACATTTCTGAGCTATATAGCCTATTTTCCAAAAGCTGGAGCACACCACTCAGTTGTTCTTACTTGACTGCTGGGGCATTATACCCATTGTTCCATTAGAGGAACAGCTAATAATTTTTAGAGTTACAAGTAATTCACCTTGTTCTACTGATGGGCATCTAATATTTTTTGTTACAAAGACTAGCTGCAATGCACATCCTTGGACATGTTTGTGCTCATGTAAAATCAACAATAGAAAAAAATTCTGCTACATGAAAGGAAGTGGCAAGGCTCGGCTATTGTGAACTTGTTAGATATCACTAGGTTGCCATAAAAAGAACTGCAGCAATTTTCATCACCAACAGTAGTATCTAGGAGCTCAATTTTAGGTCTGGAGAGAGGGCTCAGCAGATAAGAGCTCTGGTTGCTCTTGCAGAGGACCTGGGTTCACTTCCCAGCCCCCACATGGAGACTAAGAGTCTAACAGCTGTCCTTAACTCCAGTTCCAGGGATCTGATGCCCTCTTCTGGCCTCCATGGGCATTGCACAACACTGGTTCACTTTACATACATGCAGGCAAAACACTCATACAAATAAAATAAAAATAAATTAATTTAAAAAAATTAAGAAAGAACTTGGTTTCTCTATACAGCAAATCATCAAACTTAAGGGTCTTTCCCCACAAAGTTATCTCATTATTTTAAAATCTTCATGCCCATAGTCTTGAATACAGTCAAATGGGCTTTTCTTTACATTTAAGGAACCCTTTATTTTATTTTCTGACGCCTTCATCGTCTGCCATTTTGTTTTACTTTTCCCAGAACACCAGAATAAGTTTTTGGCTCTCAACTCATTAGCAACACCCATCCTTACCTCCTTTTAAACTCTGGCCTTGTCTGGCCATCTAACTACTAGTGCTATTGCACCACTGAGCTCCACACACCTCTTCGTTTTCTGCATGTACAAGACTATGCTTGAAGAATAAGAGCTGCATGAGTATGGTTTTCAGAATGCATGGGTATTTTGAGTTTAAGATGCGTTCAGCCTCTACAAACATTTCATTGATTTTTTTTTTTTTCCAACCTGAATTGGGGCATGTGGTTCTGGGAGTAAGATGTGAAAAATATTTGATAAAATATGCTATTCAAATCCTTCATATTTTTTATTGACTCATTTGATCTGACATATGAGCAGTGTATTAATGTCTGCTATTAATACACTTGCATTTGCTGACATATTCAGAAGCTGTGGTCCTGAGCTACACAGCATTGTGAGTACTGATGGACTTCCATTTTTGGTACCAGTAATTCTTTTTTTATTTTTATCTTGTTTTATTTTATGTGTATGAGTGTACTGCATGCATGCATCTAAGTTCACTTGTGCTGTGCAGGGCCATGGAGAGCAGAAGAGGATGCTGGGTCCCCTGGAACTGAAGTTAGCTGCCATGTGGGTGCTGGGAATCAAACCTGGGTCCTCTGCAAGAGGAATCAGTGCTCTTAACTACTGGGCCATCTCTTCAGCCCAGTGCCAGCAATTCTATTACCACTATTGTTAATGCCCCATGTTTGTTTGGTGCTGGTATTTACCATTATAGATTTCCCTTTATTTTAAGTCTCTTGGGGCTTCTTTAATGTTATCTCTCAAAAACAACATGCATTGATTTTAAAACCCAATCTGAGTGCTACTGTCTAATAAAAGAGGAATCAAGTCATATTACTAATCTTTTTTTCTAATGGCAGTCTTTTAAATTTTAATATGCATAGTTAAAAACATACTTTCCCATTAATTTTTCTTGTTAATTAGTGCCTATTACCTCCCCTGAGTAGGGGAGAAACTTAGGAAACTTTAGCTTCCAATCTTTCAGGATTGTCAGGCACTTTTATTTTCAAGTTCTTAAATCTTTTAAATACTATATATCGATTTATTTAAAAAGTTTTCACTGGTTTCTGTCTAAACCATCATTTCTTAAATTCAATACTTCCCTCAGTGTTTTTCCTCCCCTCTCCAAAGACAAGGCAGAAAAGATCTTAACTGGAAGTTTGCAGAAAAGCTAGTTGTCAAGTATACCATAGTGTGGGGTGTGTGTGTGTGTGTGTGTGTGTGTCTGTGTGTGTGTTCACTTGTGTGGGTGACTGTACAGACCAGAGATAAACTTTGGGATGTCTGCCTCAATTGCTTCTCCACCTTATTTTATTGAGAAAGGGTCTCTCACTGAACCTGGGAAATTTTCATTTCAGCTAGACTGCTTGACCAGCAAGTACCTGGGATTCACCTGTCTCTGTCCCCCCCCAGCTCTGGGGTTAGAGAAGCAAGCCTGCCACCAAACCCAGCATTTACATGGCTGTTGGGGAGCCACACTCAGCTCCTCGTGCTTGCATAGCAAGCTCTTTACCCTCAGTATGTTGTGTTCTTCAGAATCGTTCTGTGAGTTGAAGATGAGATTTGAATTGATAATCAGATACATTGTAAGATCTGAATTCAGCAGCAGGAGGAGCACTTGCATTCTGTAGTATAAATAACAGCAGATCAACATGGCCCTGAAGCCAGATTTGCAGAGGGGCAGGGACTTCCCGATCTCTAGAAAAAGTGGTATGATCGTGGGACTCTGTGCTGGGACAAGAGTCTTGTCTGATGGTAACTAAGGTGGCAGCTTCCTTGGTGGGCTGAGTCTGAGGAATCATGCTGACAGTCGTCGTTGAAGGCCCCCAAACAGAGGCCATTTCCTCATCTCTTCCAAAGACTTTGTTATACCCGTTTCCTACATAGCTTCCCCCCGCGCCCCGCGTCTGCTAGCCAGAATGGCTATGATTTGGACATGACCCATCATTCACCATTCTTGACTGCCCTCTCCATCCATGCTGTGTCCTGCTGTCTGGGTGCTGTCAGGTCAGTTCTGAAGTGTTCTGTGACTTATCCTCTTCTCGTTGCCTTAGTTCAGATCCTCCTAATCTCTCCCTGGACTACAGACCAGTCTCTTCGCTGGTTTCTATCTCTTCAACCGTGGTCTGCTCAAATGGCAGCCTCTCTAGGATACAACCTAATCACGTGATAGCTGTGCTTAATTACCATGCACAAGCTTCTGTTCTGTTTTATATGGATTACAAGGCTCTCAAATTCTGATTTCTAGTTTCTTCTTTAAAAAATATTTTAGTTATTTTTATTTTATGTGCATGACTGCTCTGCCTGCATGTATATAAGTGTGCCTGTGTCATGTGATACCCTCAGAGATCAGAAGATGGTGTCAGATACCCTAGAACTGGTGTTATGGACAATTGCTAGTAGCCATGTGGATGCTGAAAACTGAACCTGGATCCTCTATAAAAGCAGCTGGTGCTCTTAACCCCTGAGCCATCTCTCCAGCCCCTGCAGTATACTTTTATTGACTTATCTGTTAATAAACTGGCTGCTCTTGCCGAGGACCCTGGTTCAGTTTCCAGCACCCACATGGCAGCTAAAAACTGTAACTCCAGTTCCAGGAATCCTATGGCTTCTGTCCTCCATGAGCACTGCACTTACATGGGTGCAGGCAATACATGCATACACATAAAATAAAAATAATAAATAAAATTAAATATATATATATATATATATATATATATATATTAAAACATTTTATTTATCACTTTCATTTTATGTGTATGAGTGTTTTACCTGCATGGATATAAATGCACCTGGGCTGTTCAATGCCCTTGGAGGTCAGACAATGGCCTCCGATCCCCGCGAACTGGAGTTAGACAGCTGTTAGCCACCATGTGGGTGCTGGGAATTGAATGTGGGTCCTCTCCAAGAACAGCCAGTGCTCTTAACCACTGAGCCAACTCTCCAGCCCCAATTTTCTAATTTCATTTCTTATCACTCACTCATAAGTATTCCATGCTCCAATTACACTGAACTGTTTATTCTTTTTTTGATGTGTGTGTAGGTGTGTGCACATGTGCACGCATGTGGAGGTCAGAGGACAACCCTGCAGGTTATCCTCAGGAATGCCATTTACCTTCTTTGACATAGGGTCTCTCATTGGCCTGGAACTCCCCAATTAAGTTTGGCTGGCAAAACCAAACAAATGCTTGCTTAATCCTAGCAAACACCAGGGATTCTCCTGTTCCCACCTTCCCAGGGCTGAGATTACGAATGCACACCACCATGCCCCAAACTGGGGCTCCAACTCAGGTCCTCATGCTTGCAAGACATGCATTTTGCCCGCTGAGCTATTCCCCCAGGCCAGTTTATAATTTTTTGCAATGTTTGCAGATCTCCTTCCTCCATATTTAATATCTAGAAAACTCTTACTCACTCTTGAAGAACTAGAAAAATATTATCACCTTTAAGAAGGCTTTTCCAGTGTTCTGCCAAACTGCAGTTAGTCTCTACTGCGCCCCCCATCCCATCAAAATATATTTTAATAGTTGAGTGAATCTTCAGCTTATTAGACTGTGAGCCACAAGGGAATAAGGACTTAGTTTCATTCACCTTTATTCCCCAAATACGTCTAGGGCACACGCCTGCAGGAGACGTAAGGACACAGGTAAGACATATTTCTTTTTCTAGAGCAATAGTAATCTACAAAAAAAATAGTTCTGGGTTACCTGGCATCACCCAGAATGGAAATCATCTGGTACTGTGGTAACTCGGAAGATGCTACATGTGCGAGGATTCCAAAGAGCCTTTCTGCCATTATCATATCGTTTTGTGTCACCTGAAGAGACAGTAGAGAAGGGTCAAGATGACATCGCTCCTCGGCTGGACACAACAAATACAATTCCAAAGAAATGCCCAAATTCAACACTGTCTTTCAGTGTTGCAGGAAAGCACATTCCCCTGGGTTGTAAAGAGGAGTCTTTACAGACATTCTCTTTCTTCTTTACTGACATTTTTCTTCTTTTTTTTTCATCTAATTACGATACTCAAATGTGACTCATGGGTGGTGGTGGGCTTGATGACTTAGCTTTGATTTAGAAGCTGTGTTTCCTTAGAACTATGCTTGAAGTACCTTAAATCCTTAAAGGACTCCTTTTCTTCTTTTTCGTGTGTGTGTGTGTGTGTGTGTGTGTGTGTGTGTGTGTACAGTATACATACATGTGTATATGTGTGTTTGCAGGTGTGTGGGCACATGTGTACATGGGTGTAGGGGTGTGTGTGTGTGAGTGCATGTGTGCGTGTGTGTGTGCCTGTAGAGGCCTGCTGATGTCAGGAATCTTTCTCAATTGCTCTTCTACCTTATTTTTTGAGTCAAGGTCTCTCAATCAAACCCAGAACTCATAGATATGGCTAATCCCACTAACCAGTTTACTTCAGGGATCCAATCCCTGCCTCAGGCTGGCACTGTGGGTAGGCTACTACCCCCACACGCCATTTACAAGGATTCTGGGGATCAGAACTTCAAATTTCTTTTTTAAAAAAATATTTTATTATTTTTTTATGTGTATGAGTGTATTGCCTGCATGTAGGTAAGTGCACCTGTGTTGTGCAATGCCCACGGAGGACAGAAGAGGCTATCGGATCCCCTGGAACTGGAGTTACAGACAGTTGTTAGCTGCCATGTGAGTGCTGGAATTCAAACCTGGGTCTTCAGCAAGAACAACCAGTGCTCTTAACCGCTGAGCCATCTCTTCAGCCCCAAGAACTTCAAACTTCTTAGCAAGAACTTTAACTATTGAGCATGTCCCCAGGCCCTTAAAGGATTTAAACAACAAAATCCTACAGCTTTTTAATTCAGTGGGAAATGTCAACGGGTGAGGTCCAACCTAATAAGGCATGGAAGGTAAACCAAGGTATTGTTCGTGCCTTGCTCCTGTGAGGATACTTTTGTCCTTTCCTAGGGATGGAACACTCCGGAGATTAGCAAGATGCTCCTGTACTTTCTACATCATGGCAATCTTTTCCCTAAAAAGAATAACATGCCACAAGTAAACACTCCGAAGGCTCACGCCCTTGTTAATTACAAGTACTGGAAGAGTCAGGTGTGGTGACATACATCTGTCATCCTAGCACTTGGGAGGCTGAAGCAGGAGCCTGTCAGCTGAAGGCCAGCCTTGGGCTACACAGAACTCTAAGGCCAGCTTGTCCTACAGACACGACCCTGCCTCAGAAGAGCAAACAAGGAAGCTGAAGGCAGGACTTGGATTAACTTCTCAGCATATTTAATATAAAATAGGAATACAACAACATTAGAATTTGTTATTGTATACCTTTCTAGTACTTTTTATAGTTGTAAGTGCTCAACAGGTTTTTGGAAAAATGATACTTTATTTTTAATTCCATTATTATGACATTGAGATGAGTTTTTTTTAAATAAAAAAATATGAAATACTGAGGCTTGCATTTTCTATACTGTTGATTTGTCTGTACAATAAACTTGATTCTTAACCAGGCTCCATTTGCCCCTCAGGAACATTTAGCAATATTTGGACCAGTTAAGTGGTGCTATTGGAATGTAGTACACAGACTGTGGATGTTATTAACTGTGCTGCTAAACACACAGGAGAACTGGTAAATAACTGTCTGGCCCCAAATGTCAATGGACCAGAAGCTAAGAAGCCCTTGTCTTTGCATACAAGTAAAATTTGAATTTTATACAAATAAACGGGCATTTATTTGTGTGTGAACAAGTGTGTGCATGTACAGCTATGATCACCCATGTGTGCACATGTAGAGAGGCTAGGGGTTGATGTCAGGTTTCTAGCACTCTCAATCTTATTTTTTTGGGGCAGGGTCTCTTACTGAACCTGGATCTTGCAGTTTCAGTTAGACTAGCCGGCCAGCAAGCTCCTGCCATCCACCTATCTCTGCTCCACCAAGCACTAGGGTCACAGATGTGCACCACCATGCCAAGCTTAGGTATGAGTCCCGGGGATCTGGGGATCCGAACTCATTTTTCAGACTGAGCCATCGCCACAGACCCTCTGCTTTTTGGCACTGTAAGTCACGGTCTCATTCTATACTAAGGCTAGCCTTGAATTCACAGCAGTCCTCCTGCCTCAGCCTTTCCAGTGTTGGGGTTACAGGTTGAGTGTATTTTAGCAATAATATACTATAGAAACATCTTCTGAGAAAGAAACACACAATTCATGAACATCTCACATACAGAAATCAGCACAGACTCTTCCCCATTCTGGACCTTCATAGTAGGCAAAACTCCTACTCCTCAAATCCTTCCTTAGCTGACAACTAAGTTGTCTGGTCCAACACAGTCACCTAGTGGCCAGTGCAGGCCACTACTCCATCTTCATAAAGTAATTCTACTGCAAGAAAGACCATTTTCTGCTATAGAAAGAGAAGCAGAAATGTAGTATATATTGATGTATAATGCCAAGACTATATAAGCAGCTATGTCTTTTAGGTATTTTAATAAAATATCAAATATCTCTGGAACTGACATTTTCAAAATTTTAAATCAGAACATTATATCAGTTCTGTTTAATTCTTCTGTCATTATACCTTCTTATTTCCATAGTTCTATAGTAATGTAAAGTCCTCTGGCAATGATCCACATGCGGGTAAATCACTATTCAGGGTCAATAAGCACACCAATTGTGCCATTAATGAGGAAGAATCACTCACTCACAGCCCAAAGAACCATTCTATTTCCAGCTCAACCAACTCTGAAAACCTTTGGGTTCCCCACTGGAGATTTACCACCTGTCTGGGGAAGAACTGAAGGGAACAGGAGACCGAACCCAGACTCCTGAGAACAGGCTGCAGAAACTTTTAGTCAACTGAAGGCTCCAGATTTTTCTGGAATCTTTAACAGAAGGCTGACACTGTGGTCCTGGCCCTACCATGGTTGAGGAAATTTTTGTATGGCTGCTTCTGACATTGGCCCAGAGATCTCAATGCTGCCAAAACCATGCTGGATATCTGGAGGTCTAGGCAGAGTCAGTGTGGTGTCCTGGCTCTAAGGACATCCACTCTGGCAAGGCAGACTGTGCTTCATTTTATACAGGGAATCTTCTAAAATTCAAGAGACACCATAACAAGACTAACAACACTTTAAATTGTTTCCTGGACTAGACAGTCGGCTCAGTGGTTAGCAGCACTGACTGCTCTTGCAGAGGACCCAGGTTTGATTCCCAGCACCCACATGCTGGCTAACAACTGTCCAAATCACAGTTCCAGGGGATCAAATGCCCTCTTCTGACCTCTGCAAGCATTACACAACATGGGTGCACTTACACACATTCAGACAATACACTCTTAACACATAAAATAAAATTAATAAATAAAATATTAAAAAATAACATGGTTTCCTTTGGAAGATTATTTAGCTTCAACAGAGAGAGAAATATAATTTAATATAATTTTTTCAAATTAATATATAAAGAGAACACAGTCTTTGAACAGTCGGGGATTTAGCTTGTGACAAACTCAGAAAAATCCATTTAAAAATAGCTTTCCATGAATATTTTCCAGTTATTTAGCTCAGACCTGGGTTACCCCATAGAGTCATGCCACAGGCAGCCACTGGCCACTGGCAGTGAAGTGGTCCAATGTGCTTCAACTTCCTGTCTCTCTGCTGATTCCTCCCTTTCTTAGCAGTGGACATCTAGCCTGACATCCCTGTCCCCTCCTATATGGCACAGTTTGTAGTGCACTTTGAGAGCTACGCAGGTCGCTTACCTGTAGAATTTACTGTTTTTCTCTTTTACACTGTCATTACCATCAAGGCTCTGAATGCTCAGACAGCAACAGTAGCTATCACGCACCAGGAACCAGCTGCTCTTTTGTTTATAAAATTGTTTATTGCCTTAGAACAAGCTGTAGGAATGTAAATTTTCATCTTCTTGATATTCTGAATGTAAAATTTTCCCCCTTCTTTTAAAAAATGAAAATAGTGTTTCTGAAAAGTTCTAACATGGTTAATTGGATCCCGAACCATTTTCAGCCCTGCCTCCTCCCAAGCAGGAACATTCATGTTGCAGTCGGCCTCGCTGTTTGCTTACCTCTGTTCCATTTATTTTCTGCATACTGAAATGGCTCAGTCTAAAGAGTACATAGTATTTCCATAGTGTAAAATTGACAACTGGATTTCCTTGAGGGTCGATTGTCAGCTGATCAACCCGACGAAGTTGTGCTAGTGCGTTAAACTGCTGCAGCATGACAAGATTGGTCTCCTTGAATTTCAGGTGCTGCAATAGTGAGACAGACACAAAGATCTCAGCTTTCCCTGTCCTAAGATACTAGCATCAATGCTTTGTGGCTCATTTCCTGCAGAAATTTGTATGTTTGGAGTTATTTATATGTTTTGGGTTACAGTAAATCAAGAGACTTTTAAGCTTTAACTTCAATGCTCCTAATCTACCAGTCACTGACAAACTCAAAATTGAGTTTGGGGTGATTCCTTATGCAAAAAGACAAACTTATTTATCAGCAAATGAAGATTTTTTTTTTGAGACAGGGGCTTACTATGTAGCCCTGGCTGACCTCAAACTCAAAGAGACCCATCTTCCTTCTGAGTGCTGACCTTAAAGACGTGTCCCACCCCCGCCCGACCGATCTTCAATGTTAGCTAAATATCAAACAATTGAGACACTTTCAGGATTAGAATTATTCTACTTGTTTACATTGACATTAAACTTACAAAAGAAAATTTCAGAGCTTTTTAAGTATAGGGCTCACGTTGTCCCTGAGAGCTAGTGTTCATCATTACTTGTATCTTTCTAAGAACTATGTCAGTTATCATAATTGGCTTTAGGAAAATCAAACCACTAAAACTGAAATGCTAAAGCAACTGTTCTGTTTGTAAATTTGGATATTCTTTTCTAAACATACTATCTGCACTATGACCTATTTTCTTTAAGCGGGATGAAGTAGAAAAAAATAATATAAAAGAGTGAATAGAGATAACAAAAAGTCAAGAGGAAACTCACAGTTTCAGTTGGGTATGGTGGCACATGCCTTTAATCCCAGCACTTGGGAGGCAGAGGCAGGGGGATCTCTGTGAGAGTGAGGCCAGCGAGGTTTGCATATCAAGTTCCAGGTCAGCTGAGGCTACAGGGAGACCTTGTCTCAAGAAAAACAAACAAACAAAACCCAGCACAGAGCTGAGGAAATGGGCAACAAGCCCCAGCCTTAGCTGAGGGACTGTTGGCAGCTAATGACTGCTGGGTGATGGAGAGATGATCTTTAAGGGACTGACACTAGCTGGGCTGAGCAGGCTCCAGTGGATGAACTCCCAAGGGACATGTGGGGACACAAACTTGACTTGATAGGCCTTAACATGAATGACAGAATGCATGAAATCCTGTGAGTGGGCTATGGGGAGTGCAGATAGGGAGGGGGTTCTAACTAAATGTAATTAAGATGTATCATATGAAATGTCCAAAAGTTCAATAAAAATACATATTGAAAAAAGAAATTATGTACATACAAAACTCATGCATGACATTCTCAAAAAATAAAAAAATGAAATACATTTTTAAAAAAGAAAGGCTTTGTACAGGTTGGAGAGTCTGGAAGGGTAATGAATGCTAAACTCACACTATAGCAACAGTGAGAAATTGCACAGTATTGTTAGAGCTTGGTAGTATAGCTTTGTGAGTAAATAATACTCAAAAATTATATTACACATACAGAATTGCAAATTTACATTCTAAAATACAATTACATATTTTTAGTTTGAGAGTTATCAATTTAGTTATTAAAGTAGTTTTTCACTTAAAAAGTAAGTTTCTATAAATGCATGTTAATAAAAAAACATGGTATACCATAATTAAGGAAGGCTACTTTTAAGTCACATGAAAAAGCTGCAAAGTTACTTTCCATATTGTTAGAGGGCTACTGTAAGGCCACAGAATAAAGGCACAGGTGCCATCCATAACAGCTTTGGTACCTGAGCACATGCCCTAGGGCTACATGGTCTTGTTATATGCTTTGTGAAGTAGAAACAGATAATGTGAATAAAATTCTTTTGGTCTTCTCTATTGCATAAAGGATCTTTTTTTAAAAGACATAATTTCTAAAGTCAACATTAAACTGCAAGGTCATTTATGATTACTGATTTCAATTCCAGTGCTAGAAAAATCAACACAAAAGCTTAGTTTCCCTGCCAAAAAGAAACTATCGAAATTAAGGTTGAAACAGGCTTTGGCCTGAACACACATGTCATAATTAAGAATAATTCAAATATACTTCTAAAGGAAAATGTTTACCAGAGAATTAGGAAACTTAATCTTCAATTTGGGAAGCACTTGCACAATTTCATCAAATTCTATGAATGTGAAGGAGACTGTTGTGACCATGCCTGCTGTCTGAACACTCCAGTTCCGATCCAGACATTCCAGGGCTCCTGAGCCATACAGCGAAAGGGTGTCTCCATCTACCTCCACCAGGTGTGTGTCTGTGACAGACAAGCCTTGTAACACATTGGTGAGTCCTGAGTCTAGAGACCTGCAGAAGCCAAAATGTCATTTTTAAAATAAAGTTTTAGTCACAACAGGGAAATAACAGAACAGCATGTTGGAAAAGCTCCTTAGACTAATTCAGCCCAGAGCACCTTAGTTTTAAAATTAGCATGAGAAGAAATGGGTTTCATCACAGCAGTTTATTCTTGCTGATGCCCCTCCTTTCTCTCCTCCCCATCCCATAGGTCTCTAGTCTTCCCACACAGCCTCCCTCTAGCTTTCATGTCTCATGTATCTTTTAGACTCATTTTTAATAGATAGGTTTGGAGTAACCTAATCATATTTTAATTGAAAATAGGAAAATTATGAATAAAAACCCACCCCAAATCCCAAATTACTCATCATATTAATGAAGGATACTTATTTCATATGTATTAAATACGTCATGGAAATTTTAATATCAATATAAATATATTTTCCCAATTTATAAAACTACCTAGCTAAAAGATACATTTTACAATGTATTTCCATAGTAAGACAATATAAAATACTGTTTATAAAATACAATATAAAATTTTTATAAAACATATAACCTTAAAATAGTTTACATCTTAGGTATTGAGTGGTAATGTTAATTTTATGTTTGCATACTCTAAAGTTTAAAAAGTTTTTGAGTTCAGTCATAATTAGTAAAATCAATAAAATCTTTCTAATTTGAAATAAAAGTACTAAAAACCAGTATGTTATATACACACAGTCACCTTCAATACCCTACTAAATGAGAACACTTCTGCTATTCTACTAAAGCAAGAGCCAACGTTTCTATAAAAGCCTACAAACCTCCTTGATCCAACTCAAATTCTTTGCTCTGTAAATAGAAATATAACTTCTCATTTGCTCCATTCCCCAAATTCTGATAACATTTGGCTTTTGCCCGTGTGTTTCCCCCAACATGCCCTCAGTGTTTGCACTCCCTGTACTGGTACCGTGCGCTCTCCCATTCATATGTTAGTTATGATTGCAAGTTTGCATCTCTTCTATATAATGAGTTGATGAGGCTGAAGATCGAATGTTTTCAGATCTGGGTACTCTGTGGTCTAGGAACAATCTTTGCATAATCTATTAATTAATTATTAAGAATATCAGCAATTTTTATAGTGCTGATGGTGGATGATAACAGTGATGAGTCATTACCCTGTTGGTTCACTAGATTTATTTCAGAGGTACCAGCTAACCATCATACATTTGTATATTCAACAGTAAGTTAGCTAATAACAAAAGTTTACTTTAAGTGAATATACAACCAAGAAAAGACACACTGCCTTAACTTATATATCAGACTTCAGTTACAGTAACAGGACTTAAGACGGACAATAATTAAACACTCAATGAGTGGTGGTGTAGAACTAGTCTTAGAAAGGTAAGGGTTGATAACAGCACAAAATAAGGTAAGAATTATTTCCATTTATCATGCTCTAAGCAGCATACCAAGGTAGGCAGAACACTTAGACAATACTGGAACAGGAAAAAAGACAGCAGTTAGAATTTGGCTGCCACTAAAATAAAGATGGCTTATATCAACGGCACTGCCGGCATCACTGCAGCCACCTGTCTACCTGCCTGTCTTCCCTACTAAACACTGATTGAGATCTCTACTCTTGCCACATGTAACATGGTAGAACAAACATCTAGCAGTGCTTTACTCAGTAAATATTTCATGAATTAATAAAATTAGACAACTTTTGGAAATAACTGTTAAATCTCAAAATAATGTTCCAATCATAGCTACAGTATGAGCAGAATCAGACATATAGCAAAATCAGTGACATGGACACAGAATAAGAGTTAGCCTGGAGAGATGCTCTGCCGTTAGGGGCACAGGCTGCTCTTGCAGAGGACCTGGATTTGGTTCCCAGTACCCACGTGGTGGCTAACAACCATCAGTAACTCCAGTTCCAGGGTATCAGACACCCTCTTCTGACCTCTTACATACATGCAGGCAATACATTCATACACATAAAATAAAAATAATACATAAAATATAAAGAGTTACCAAGAAGGTTGGTTTAGTTAAGACAGAAATTTGCAGTGATGAAGAAAGGTGAAGGGGAAAAGTCCTATTCAATGCAGGGATGCCCATGGCCATCACAGCTAGGAAAGTAGTTTAATGTCAGTATAGTAGGAAATTAGAGTTACATACCAAAAAGAGGAACATATCCTTTGGGATGTGATATTGCCCTATATTATGCATTTAGAAATGTCTTTTTCTCTATAGGATTAGAGATTAAGAATATAAATTCTAAAAAAAAAAATCTATCATCACAAAGTGAATATTTTATGTCAACTTTTGGCAAGCAAACTGTTGGCAAACAAAGTACAATAAACTAAGCCTACAGTCAGAAAACTTGTAACATGGTCACAAAGCAGAGCAAAAGGAGCTCCAGCTTCTGCAGGTCCCACAAGGGCATATGTGGGTTTGCTGGGCCACAGGCCATCTCTCCCTTTTCAATAGGAAACAGCAATCCCAACTCAGTAACGCAAAACTCTACCCATTTCAGTTATTTTATGAATGAGGCTGTGAGGTCAGCCTCAAACTTTGGCCATTGTTCTAAATGTTCTTTCCAGTGAGGCAGGCTCTGTTTTCTATAAAAATGAGTTCAAACTCTTGTTAAACAATGTCTATACATTAGAGACTGTCCTTCTGTTTTCCCTTTTATATTTGGTAGATATGTCCACATCGTTTGTTAGTGATACACAGAGAGGAATCCATTTGTTCATTCACCAAACATTTGCTGAAAGCTCTGTGCTTAAAATTCTGGCACAATGGGGATGGCGAGATGACTCAGTGGTTAAGAATATTTGTTGTTCTTCCAGAGGAACCAGGTTCAATTCCCAGCACCCACATGGTAGCTAACAATTGTCTGTAACTCCAGTTCCAGGGGATCCAACACTCTCTTCTGGCCACTATGGGGCATTGCATGCACACGGTGCACTCACATAAAGGCAAGTAATTTATACACATAAAATAAATTTATACATTTATATACATAAAATAAAAATAAAACTGTATTAAACAATTCTGGCACAAGCAACTGAATCATCTTACAGGTAAGGACAATTAGCAGAGACAGAACATGTATGTTTTGGGATATATCAAAGTTGCTGCTCATAAAGCCAAATTATGGGGCTGTGATTCTACAAATATAGCTGCTGCAATATTATCAAGCAAGCAACCCAATAAATACAGGTGATAAATTTTCTAAACAAAAATGACCTCAATCAGCTATTTAAACCATCCATAGGACTTTTGTGGATGGCTTATCTGTGTCAGATATTGTGCCTAGCCTTGGACATATGAAAATCAATCAAGATATATCAATCAACATATATCTGCCTTCAAAGATTTTCTAGTTTTTGGAGTGGGGGATGTAAAAGAAGATAAATGCACACATTAAATGTAATACAATGTGATTATGTCACATAATGAATGGATATTTAAACCACATGTTATAGAAACAGAAAAGGGAATGACAGATTCTTCTAGAGAGAACTCCAGTTGCAAAAGGAAACAGTATTTGAGCTGATCTTTGAGTGATGACTAATACAATTTCCTCAGGAGCAGAAGAGATGGAGAGGAATGAAGAAAGAGCAGACCCCTGATTGTGCAAAACACAGCCAGGAAAGCAGTTTCAATATGGCCGGACACCAAGCAAAGGACTGTAACATGAAACTCAGGAGCCTGGTGGTAGGTGATGAAGCTGAAAAGACAGATTTTTGTCCTGTAGGGGCGAGGAGCAGAAAAAGGACTCAAAACAGAAAGGTAAAGAGCACATGCAATGCTTGTTTTTAAGCAACTCCAAAGAGCCATGCATGATGTAAGTATTGGTGTTGGGTACCCAAAGATGAGGGACACACACCCTCCTCTGCCTTCAAGGACTAACTTCAGACATATTAGTCCAATATGTGGAGGACAGAGCAGGAAGGGCCATGCACAGGACATTCATAGCAGGATCAGTGCAGTATTAACCAGCTGACATGATGGCACAACAGGAAAACATGGTATGGTAGAGTAGAAGGCATCACCAGCAGAGTCAGATGGGCCCTAGGCAGGATTTCAGATCCGCCGCTGATGAACAGATCATCTTGGATGTAAGCTTTTGAATTTCTTTGAGTTTCAGTTTCCTTGTATGTAAAATGGTGTTCAAAGTATATATTGATGGAGTTGTAAATATTCAAAATAACATTTATATAAAACTGTGCCTTGTACTTAGCTCAATACATTTCAGTGATCATTATCAACAAATGGGAACATCTTACCAGATATTTAGGAGAAAATGAAAGTGGGACTTAACGGTTAATAGACCATGGCAAATGAGGGTGAGGGAGGAGTTGGGTGTGACTTCAGTTTCCAGAATGTGACTAGTTACTTGGTGTGGTTTCCTAGCTCTGTCTAGCCTAAATTTATACCTTAAGAAAGGTGGTATTGTAGTCTGGGGGGAATCCATGTTTTTATATTTGTTTTCCCATAAAACCCAATATAAATACTATATGTATTTTCCAACTCAAATATTAATTAAATAGCAGCAGGCATCAGGTTATCCTATAGGGATTATCTTCAAGCTCTTTTGTGGTTCATTTCATGTTCAAATACTTATGTATTCAACTAGATCTTCATAAGGATGAATCAGAAAAAACATTCTATGGCTTCTCAATTAGTGGAAGAACCAAAGAAAAGAGTGTGATTGCATTAATGCCATAAGGTACCCAGTTCCTAAAAGCCAGGCCCACTGTAGACCATATTCCCAAATGTCTATACGGGCAAAAAAAGACAGTATTTCAGAAACCTGTGTGTATTTTTTACCTTTAGACTTTTTATAACAGGCTAGAACAGGAACACTTAAAGTCTTCCAGAAGATTCTTTTCCCAATGAATAAGTGGTGCTGATTCCTACAATAACTTATTTTATGAATTTATATTACAACTTCCATAGGTGTGGAAATTCATTTTATGCATTATATTTTATTTTAGTAGTGTTGGCTAAAATAC